ATGTTCAGCTTTTTGAGGAAGCGCCAAACTGCCTCAGTTCTCATTTTCTCAGGGCATATTCAAGTAGTGGAATAGCTGAATCATATGGAATTTCTATGTTCAGCTTTTTGAGGAAGCGCCAAACTGCCTCAGTTCTCATTTTCTCAGGGCATATTCAAGTAGTGGAATAGCTGAATCATATGAAATTTCTATGTTCAGCTTTTTGAGGAAGCGCCAAACTGCCTTCTAGAGTGGTTGTACTATTTTACAATCCTACCAACAATGTATAAGAGTTCCTTTCTTGCCATGTCCTCTCTAATATTTATTACTTGCTGCCCTGTTAAACTTTGCCACTGTTTCTGGGATTAAATGGTATCTCATTGTGGTTTTAATTTGCATCTCTTTTATTGCAAGTCATTTTGAGTATTTCTTCATGTGTCTGTTTGCCATCTGAATATTTCCTCTGTGAAAATTCTTTCCATATCTTTTTGCCCATGTTGTACTTGCATTATCAGTCTTTTTCTTGTGGAGGTCCAGGAGTATTCTGTAGACTTTCATTATGAGACCCTTGTCTGAGATGGTATCACCAAATGTTTGTTCCCACTCAGTAGGTTTTCTTTTCTGCCTGTTGGAAAAAGTTATTTTGATGCACACACGGATTTTAATGCATAGAAAAATAGATTCTATTCTATATGGTAACACAAACATTTGACTGAGTGACATAAAATACACACTATACCTAGCTGTTAATAATATACTGTACAGATTTAGGAAAGGAACTAGTTAGTAATTCAGACACTACATATGTGTGTGTGCTGAAGTAATTATTTTTTTAAATGATTCTCTATGTTCCACATTATAATAAAATAACCTAACATAACCACCCCTTTCTCCTTGTTAGATAATCTGTAACACACTCCTCAAATATTTCTTTTTCTCTTTGTCTACATTCTTTTTGCTGTATTTCCATTCTTGAAATAATTTACTTATGTATTATACTCCCCCTAAACAAGAGATTTTTATATTTTGATATATGTGTATTTTAAGACAATTCCTCCTTATTTGTCTATCTTTTGTCAAATTTAAGATGTAACTTGATCTTAATCCTATTTTCTACTCATAATTGCGGTTTCTCACCTGTATAGATGGCATCTTTCTTTAAATTAACTTTAATTAAGGTTTACAGAGACTGAGGTTTTCCAGTTATTCATTGTTGCACTTTTCTCCCTGCCCATTCCCTCCCCTCAATTCACTCTTCTCCTTGAAAAGTAAAAGAAAAACACTTTCATTGTTATGCAATCGCTCTCTCCAGTCCACTCCACTGTGCAGCCTTCATTCTGGACTCCTGTCATGACAATAATACCTAATCACATATCCCTTTTAAACAGTTTTCTCCCTCATCTGTTTCAATGCAGTATATCATTCCTCCCCTCCTTCTCTGCCTTCCCTCAGTTGGAAAGGATGAAAGGAATCTGATAACATTTGTTGTATCTGAACATTTTCCTGTATTTTGAGGGCTTATCTGTTGGTATGATTGGGGAGCCAAGTCACCAGGATTCCAAATACCATGAGGGTCAGCCAGGTGGACAAGGTTCACTGGAGCTTCCAGATTAGACAGACTAGGAAGATAGGAAGGGCTGGAATTCTACTTCTAAAAATTAGCTAATGAAACCGTTGTGGATTGGAAAATACTGTCTGAGACTTCAACTTGTTTAGTTTGGAGACATTATTAAGAGAGTTTAAACACATAAGAACATGTTTGGTGAAATGGGGAACCAGGAATGATGAAGGAAACTCTAAATGAGATGAACTGACAGGGGCTGCAAAGTGTACTCAGAGCGACAGCCATGAAGACAATGCAGGATCAGACACCTCTTTCCCCATTATTCACAGAGTCACTATGAGTCAGGAATGACTAATAGCAAGTTAACTTCCACATTTGAAGGAACTCATACCTGTGTGGCTCTACCCAAGTAAGATAGGTATCTATTTGCCTAAATTTGGCAATGGTGGAAAATGTGAAATGCTTTCAGTCCTTAACCACACCCCTTACTCATTCCCCCATGTCAAAGAACTTACACACCCACAGCCACACAGCACTTGCATTTTAACAAGTGATGTAAACCAGAGATGCTCTCATTGGCCAGAGGAAGAATTATTAAAACATACTATCAATGATCTCATTTTTTTTTGTCTTGAGTTCACATGCTCTCTTCTTGCTTAGCTGCTGGCCTTTAAATAAGTGTATAAACAGAGTATAAAGTGGGGAAGCTGTTCTTCATCCAAACAGGTTTCAGGCCAGTACATCTACATTATGTAAGCCTGGAAGGCTGAAGTCATCATGAAGAGTTTAAGCTTAAAGTCTCTTGATATGTTTTCATCTAGTAGGAATGTCCTTTCACATTTTAAAACAAAAGCCTATTCCTCTCTGTCTGGCTATCTGCTGTCAGACATGTGCTTCCAAAACAGGCCAGCTCCAGCTCCAGTGAAAGTTGTTAAGGTAAACTACTCCTTTTCCTTGGTGTCTGAAGAGATGTTTTTTAACATGTTTATATTTGTAGTCTCTCTTTGCTCTTTAATATGGTGCATTTCTAAAAATTCATCAGGCTTGAGCTACCTTTTTCTAAGTTATGCTAATAGACATATGAGATTGAAACGGATCCTTTAGTTTCTAGGTTTAATTATTAGATTGAGACACTGGAGAGGTTTATACTTCATCAACCATCCTCTCTCTTTCCTTTAGCCCTAAGTACTTCTTTGCAGAAATTTTAAGAGAAAATAGATTCTTGTACAATATAATGAATGTCAGTGATAAATCTACAAATAAGTCACTAATTGAGCACTTTGTATGTACAGTTATTTCTTAAGGACAGAGCCATTGGTAAGACTGATAAAACACCCTCCATATTCTTTTTTTACTAATTCA